ACCCAAACCATTCTATGATTCTGAGTAGTGAAGGAGATAGTGATAGGGACAAAAAGAGTTGTTGTAGCTGTGAAATCTCCTGCCTTTCCTCACTGTGCCACATGGGATTCAGCATCACTGCTTAACCTGAGCTTCTGTCTCCCTAGAACTCTACTATGACCGAGGAAACCACCACGAGTTCGTGTCTTTGGTGAAAGACCTGGCCCGTCCTGGTGAATTCACGCAATCGCAGACATTTGACTTCGAATTCACACACGTGGAAAAACCTTACGAGTCCTACACGGGGCAGAATGTGAAGTTACGGTGAGTCTCTTCCCTTGCTGGTCCCAGTTCATGGGTCTGTGCAGTGACTGACATTTACCACCATGATCCTAGAGTGCAGCATCCCTTCCCAGACATCCCTGCAAGCTTATAATGTAACTCCAGATGAATTCCTGAGTTGTACAAGGCTGTCTTTGAGGGCTCGGCTTCTGTAAGCGTGAATCAGACGTTATGGAACTTGTTTTGCAGCATTTAAGTAAGAGGAGAAATCACCCCCTTATTTATCGCCCCTAATTTATTCGGTAATTCAAAAACCAAAAGAAATGGTTTGCTTTAGTCTCCAACAGGGACGTTTTGCTGCCCTGTAATCAGTCCTGTTGACTTTAATTGTGCTCTGCGTGCACACAGATGCTTAGCCTGTATCACCTCTGTGTGTTGCAAACTGTACTTCACGTCTAGACGCTCCAGCCTACTCGAAATCCAGTCACTGGCTTTTGGGTTTGGAAAATTCTGAGGTTTGCAGAAAGAGGTGTGTCTGGAGACCAGTGTGATCTAATCTCTTGCAAAAGGGCACTGGTTTTAACATGTGCAAGCTGTTACTCAGATCCCCAGAATGGTGCTTAGGTAACTCAGGCTCACAAACGCGTGAAAGCTTGGAGAAGGCTCAGAAAATTCTGCTTTTCCATTTGAAAATTCCCTTCACTCTCTCCCAACGTGGCGTATTGGCTGCTCCAGAAGCCAGAGCACCAGTGAGACGGCTTGGATAGCCCAGAGCAATCCATTCAGCCCCGTGTCCCTCCCTGCGTCGCCTCTGTTGCTACCGGTACCACCCTGACGGGGAGGGGGGGACGCTCTCCTTGCAGGTATTTCCTCCGAGCGACAGTCAGCCGCAGACTGAACGACGTGGTGAAGGAGATGGACATAGTTGTGCACACTCTCAGCACCTACCCAGAGCTCAACTCCTCGATTAAGATGGAGGTGGGGATTGAGGATTGCCTGCACATTGAGTTCGAGTATAACAAGTCCAAGTAAGTGCCTTGAGAGCTGTTTCCCAGGTGATGCCAGCAAATCTCCCTGCAGTGTAACATTTGGGTTAGTTCTAATCGACCTAAAAAATCGGTTTTGGAGGCTTCACTGTCACAGGGGTTTCTTGCAGATGTTCGGCCTAAGATTCTGGTCTTAGTTGATCTGACCGTGCTAAATGTTCCTGATTTCCAAAAGATGGGAGGATGAAAGACAGAGCACTGTTTACAGCAGCCTAGGGGAGGTGGTTGATACACCATCCGAAACCCACAGCTGGGGCCGTGGAGCAGAGTGCCTGACGTTCCCGCTTTCTGGTCGGAGTCGTGGCCTGCTGCACAGCTTTTGATCGTGCTGCTTTCTCCCCTCACGTGCTAGGTATCATTTAAAGGATGTGATCGTCGGAAAGATCTACTTCCTGCTGGTGCGAATCAAGATCAAACACATGGAGATAGATATCATCAAGAGAGAAACAACAGGGACCGGACCCAATGTGTATCACGAGAACGACACCATAGCTAAATACGAGATCATGGATGGGGCCCCTGTGAGAGGTGAGAAGGCAGAGAGGCCCTCCGGGATTCCTCTTCTCAAGCCTTTTGGGGTGGGAATATGTGTCCTGCAGCATCTTCAGCTGCCTCTGTGTGCTCAGTAGTAGTTTGCATCCCCTTGCACTGGCGACTCACAGCAGTTTACGTAGGTGGTTCGATACGAACCCCTTCCTTCTCTGGTATGATGAGGGGGAACTGAGGCGTAAGGAGTTGCAATGGCTTAATTCTTTTGATGAAGCAGTGGCAGAACCAGGACTGGATGCAAATTCACCGTTGGCATGGGCCACCAGCTGGCATCGCCGCAGTCTGGAGCAGAAAGATGGTGTTCTAGCTCGGTGCCAATCTCCTGTGCCACTTGTTTTCCCGTTCCATTGCCCAGCAGAGTCACCTGCCAGAGAAAATGTCACCTTACTCATTTTTTTCCTGCAGTGCTGTCTTGCTGCAGGTCACAAATGCATCCTGTGCTGTTACAGTGGAGATGGAATAGCTGGCAGCAGGGACAGGATCTGGCTGTGGACCGTGCATGCTGATTTTTGAAGGGAGTTGAGGTCTTTTTAGCTCATTTTATTCCACTTGTGGAAACGGTCACAAAGTTTGTGGCTTAGCAAGGTTTTGTTTTGCTGGTGCTCTCCCAGTTTACATCCATGCCTTCTGTCTGCACGCTTCGTAGGGGAATCCATTCCCATCAGACTCTTCCTGGCTGGCTACGAGCTGACTCCAACGATGAGGGACATCAATAAGAAGTTCTCGGTGCGTTATTACCTCAACCTGGTGCTGATCGATGAGGAAGAGAGACGCTACTTTAAACAGCAGGTGAGAAACAGCTCTTAATTCTTCTTGGACCCGTAGACTGTCATTTGGGCCACTACATTATAAGGACCTTCTGGGAATTTGGGATTCCCATGGGGGAGAATCACGTTCTTAACTGAATTTCTGTAAGGACTAGAGAAATCAGAGCGTGCAGAGGGTCAAAAAGGAAAGGTCCACGCAGGTGGGGAGGCGTGTAGGTGTTCACTTGGGACTGCTTTTCCTCTCTGTTGCCCTATGGTGGAGCTTCTGTGCTTCACCTTACCAGTTCCAATGCGGTGGCCAATGGCAGTGGGACAGAGCTGCTCTAGATGCCCAGCGGGTTGCGCTGGGAGGAGTCCTCTATCCAGATTCTCAGGAAGGCTGCGTTGCAAGGCCTCTGCTTGCCGCTGCAAGTGGCCTCGTGTGTGCAGCTGAGCTCTCACTGGGTGCAGGCTGCTCGCCCGGCAGCTTTGGGTCAGGGTGGAGCCCAGGAGAAGGTCTCACGAGCCCTGACAAGCCTTGCTGGCTGTGTTACTGCAGGAGGTGGTGCTCTGGCGGAAAGGAGACATAGTGCGGAAGAGCATGTCCCACCAAGCAGCCATCGCCTCCCAGCGATTCGAGGGGAGCTCCTCACACACCGAGGCCAAGACCCCCAGCCAGCCTGCAGAGAACAACGGCCGGCAGTGAGAGGCCACGCAGAGGAAGGCTGCTGCGGAGCCGGGGGAGACAGCAGCGAGGAGGAGGAAATAACACTTCAGAGACTTCATGAAAATAAATACCCGTTTTTGACTTAATTCCTTTCTTCGAAGGACTCGTAGGGTGGGAAGGGGCTGGGAGGGAAAGGCAAGCTGGAGCACTGGTGGTGCAGAGCTGAAGGTACCTCAGCGCTTCCCATTTGTTCCTCTGGGGTCGGCTGCTGTGAGGTGTGTGTCCGGAGGCTGTGGAGCTGCCTGATCTCCTCTCTGCCCTGAGACCCTTTAGGTGTGGCAGCAGGGAGGGTGAGAGCAAGTGAAGGCCAAATCTGCTGCCGCTTCCCGGCGGGGCAGAGGTTGCTTTGGGGCTGCATAGGATGGATGTTTTTCCTGTCTTTCTGAAATCTCTGTGAGGGAAAACAACACGGTGATTAGCTGGAAGGTAGAGGCGGGAGCTGGAGGGTGAGGCGCGGCCTACTTGAAATCGCTTAGCGTTGTCCCCTCGCCGCCTCCCCTTCCCCTTCGTGCTGGCGTTGGATTCCTTGTCACAAACAGTTGCATGACGCAGTTGAGTCGGCCCCGGGACCGCATCCCCGTGGAGCAGGGGCAGCACATGCGCTGCCGTGCCCTTGCCGCGGGGCTCCCAACACCTGGGTGGCTGGCAGGAGGGCGGGAGGCGTGCGACAGCGGCAGGAGGTGGCACAGGTTGGGCAGAGCGGCGACGGTCTCAGTGCTGCTGGGTGGGCGGGAAGGCCCCGATCGCGTCTGTGTCCTTGTGACAGAGCAGGGGTTGTAGCAATTAGTGTGGAAACACGTGCGCGTTTGGTTTGTTCCCTCGCGTCTGCGGGGTGGCCACCGGGAAGGCCAAAGTGGTTTTAAGAAAGCTCGTGGCCTGCGTGTGCTGCTGGAGGAGGCCAGGCGGGAACTGGAAGGCTGGTTGAGCTGTCTGATTCCAGAGACACATTCCTGAGGCGTGAGCTGAAATCACCAGTGAGGTCGGAGGGTGTGTGCTGTGAGCGGAGAACCTGAACGCGGGTTTTTTCTTTTCTAAAATAAGCTGCTTTTAGTTTTCAGCTGAGTAGAATCATGAAAACGTTCCCGGAAGGGAATCACTCCTCCATTAAAAATTAGATGTGGCTTTGTAGATGTGATTGAGCCTGGAGAATATCCATCCCGTTCAGATGCCCTTCACGGAAGCAGATGGTCAGACCTCCTACCACATGGGGGCACGAGCCCGCACTAGATGCTGGGATATGAGCTCTGTCAAGTGGGATTTGGATTTCTCCGTGGGTTTGCGGCTCGCTAGGGTTTTGTCCAGCTTCCTTTTGAGTCCGGAACGAATCTGTCGGCTGGGAAATGGAAGTATCTTCTGCTTGGTTGAGTGGAACAGTGCTGATGGAGGGAGCGGGGCCTGGGTGGGAAGGGGAGCTTTTTATGTACTAAGACAGCTGCTGTGTTTCAGTGATAAATGTGTGTTTCTGCTTGCCAAAGTAAGTGATCTTTTACTCACCACGTGTAAGGTTGTGGTTTTTAGTAGAGCTGGGCAGTCTCGCGCTGTTGTAGAGGCCACTAATGATCTCATCTCTGCTGAATGCTCGTGTCACACCATGTTTCTGCTCTGCAGTAGTGAAGGCGTGGCTTGCTTTTCTTTCCACGTGGAGTCTGTGCCGTGGGCTGGAGCCGCGTTTTCCTAAGACGGAAGCAAAAGCTTCCTTTAGACAGCTCCCTTGTTATGCCAGGGCCAGGGGCGACAGCCTGCTGCGGGTGTCACGTGGCAAAGGATTCTGGACGTTACTTTGGACACTACTCCCCTCCCTGCGCCGGGGGAACTGCCTGTGCTGTGGCAACACGCGATCTTTCAGAGACAAGTGGAGCTCCCAGCGGGAGGCTCTGGGGACAGCCAACGAGCTTCCCGTGGCTAAGCTGAGCACAGCAGCACCCTAACTGCCCTCTGCTTTCCCTCGACTCCCATTATTATGGGTTTTTTTTTTTTTTGCTTGCCTTTTCCCCTTGATTGTAGGCCATGTGGTATTAAAGCAACCCCGTGGATGAAGATGTCTGTGCGTTCCAGGAGTGTTTTGTGTACTGACCGAACAGCATCAGCACTGGATGCAAGCTAATTGTCTGACAAGCCCGTGCACTGTAAGGAGGTTTCTGTTAAACATCTGTTCATCACATCTGGAGGGATTACTTGGAAAAGGGGCATGAGCCGATACGTTGGGTTGGATTTTCCTACTTTGTGGCCCCCTCCCCTCTGTCCCTACTTGTGGAACCAGAATTTAGCAATGATCCCCATTTTTACTTAATCCAAATGGACCATTCAGCCCGTTAGCACGAGCCCCTCTGTCTGGGGTGGAGCAGATGTGCTGAGCATCTCCAGAGAGAGAGGTTGAAGCATAAGGTCGCTCCGGGACAAGGTACTTTAGAGAATCATTTCATGAGCGTGGTGAGGGGCAGATGGGACTTGAGCAGTTGTGTCACCCTCAGCTGGGTGGTTCTGTTGGGTACTTGGGTCATCCCCTCCCTGCCAGGCCGAGTCGGGCAGGGGGGAGTGTGCAAGTACTAAACCAAGCAGTGCAACCTGTAATTAAGCCTCTGCTGTGTTTACATGTTTCTTAATTCGTCGTCTTTTCAATGGCTGTATTTTAAAACTTGGGGTTTTTGTCTCTCCAATTAAAAAGAGCCAGCCCTGGCTGTCAAATGCTGTGCACGAGTTTTGTCTGATACGGTTTCTATTGCCTGCCCTGGGTCTGGGTTTTGTTATTTTTGTTTGGGTTTGGTTTTTTTTTTCTTGTTGTTTTTGTTTTTTTACGGCATCAAGACATTTTTCTTTAGTCCCATACTGCACAGCCCTCCAAACACGCTCGAGGAGTTTGCCCTTTGTTACCTTTATAAATTCTTGGTCCTTTAAGCTATGTCACTGCTTAGAAGCTGTGCTGGTGGAGGAGCTTAAAACCTAGCGCGCAGGCTTTATTTTCTCCTCTTTGCCTGATGTCTGTATAAAAGTAATGTGGAAACGTTTGTAACGGCAGGAAGTTAACTGATGTGCTTTGCAGCGCTCAGGCTGGATGTGTATATCCATCCAAATCTCCCTGTTCTAGACGGAAGCTGAGCGATAGCTTTCTGCAGAAAAACATCCCTCCGCAGTACCTGGGACAGCACTGGATCCTGTAGTAAATCCTCAAGGAGGATGTACCGGCTTCGTCCTTCAAGAGGTAAACTGAAGATTTTTCCACTATTAAAAATGGAGCGGCTGCGATTGATTTTCAAAGGCTTTATTTAAAAATACGCAAAATTAACAGTGTGTCAGAATAAGGGACGTGTAGCTGCGAGCCATGTGCGGGCGTGTTCTTGTTGCTGCAATTGAGCAAGGTGAGAATTACGCTGGTTTAGGAGGAAGCATCAGCGGGATGGGTAGAAGCTGTGCTGCTCTCAGGTTTTTAATGTGGCTTTTTCTCTTCCAGGCTCAAGACAAAATCAAATTCCTCTGCGTTGTAAAGGTAAGGAAGGGAAAGCTGTAAGCGGAACTTCCAAGTTGCCTGGGCAAGGGCTGTCTCCCGGGCGGAACAGCACCGAGGAGGTTCTTACCTTGCGTCAGGGGTTGGATGGAAAGACGCTGTCTTGTGAAAAGCATCATGTTCTTCAGGGGGCCTCCATCCGCTTTATGCGCCAGGTGGTGAGCCTTGATTTCAGAAAGGGGGATGAAACGTTTTGTCATCCGCACAAACTGGACGTCCACCTGGGAAGTGATGGGCAGCAGAGGAGCATGGTTGGAGGAGACAGCCGCCAGCTGTCGCCGAAGATCTTTGCGGGGTAAAGATTTTAAACTGAAGCAAACTGACTGCCTTACAGCACTACGGAAGCTTTTCCTTCCTCAAGACTTAAAAGAACTTTCGGATCCTTTGGCAGGTGATTTGTTTACACGAATCGGAGCACTAACAACACACACTCGTGTCACATACAACAGGAGATTAAGATGCAGGACGTAGCCAGTCACTTCCCTGTAATTTAATGTGCCTCACAACTACAGCTTTGCTTGCTGTAGGCTGAGTGGTACTTCAAGATGTTCCCTCTCTTTCCTAACCCGGAATTCTGCCATGCCTGGAGGTCGCCTCTCCATCCAGGTAAGACTGGAAAATTTAGGGCAACACATTTTGGCAGCCTTCTGGAAGAGGCAAGGGAAAAGCTAGAGAAAACAATCAGGATTGGTTTTCCTGTTGAAGGAGGAAAAGGTGGCTAGGCCAGGACAGAAGTTTAAGAAGGCAGGCAGTATGATGCAAAGAGGCTTCTACCTGCACTCGGCTGGTACACAGAGCTTGAAACCGCTGTATTTAGTTTACTACGTTACCATGGACCACTTGGGGTTCTCTTTTCTGCTGGAGGAATCATAATGAGGATCCTTCTGATCAAACTGGGTGTGATCAGGGTACGCCTCCTTCACAATCTGAAGCAGGAGGGAAGAAGAACATGAAACAAATTCCCATTGGTTAAAAGCTTGCCAGCCAAGGGTATGAAATGCCCGAAAAAGCTGAGACTTCGCACTCCTTCGGTGCTGAGACAGATGTAGGGCTCATGAGCTGTTTGATAATGCACAGATTATTACTTCTCCCCCCCACCCGCAAGACACAGGGAGAAAGAGGCACTCACCTTGACAATGCCAACAATGCCAGGCTCTTTACAGTTACTGTGGTAGAAGAAGGCCTGCTGCCCAAGTTTCATGGCTCTCAGGAAATTCCTCGCCTGTCAGATGTAACAAGAGACTTTGAGCTCTTTGGGGTTTCGTTATAAGCAGCTAGGAACAAGAACTAACAACAAGAGGGGTGTACGTGCTTCAGGGCTGCTCAGATGAGGTTTCTTTTGGTTGTGCAGATGTTTTATGCTGCACTGAAATGAAGTAAAAATGGGGCTAAAGAGCAAGATCCTGTTGGTTAGGAAGTGTGTGGGAATATAACAGCTCAGCCACCCCCGTTCAGACAGAAGCTGTGAGTTAGCTGTCAGCAGACAAGCAGCAGAGAAGGCCACGTACCAGGGGAAGCACACGTGGATTTCCTTTCCAGAGAGGCCTGGAACGGAAAGCTGTACACTGACAAGGCATAGTTTAGGTCATACAGCATTGCTAAAAGGTCTCAAGGGAAATACAGGCTGGTCTAAGCTAAAGAGAAACTGGATGACTTGACAGAACATTACCCAGCCTGAATCTACTTTTGACCTGGAGGTGATTAATCAGGAGTTCTGACTTCTGGCAAAATACAGCTGTAAAAGCGAACACTTCAGGCAAAGGGAACCACTTATCTGTGGGGAGAGCCACCTTTTTCCTAGTGCTATCTCAGTGATTCCATCCTGGACATGTGCTCCTCACCTGGTAGTTTCTTACTCCATCCCAAAAGGTTGTCTGATTGGGCTGAGCTTTCAAGTCGTCAATGCTGAACTGCCAAACAGAATGAAAATAGAGGTTAAGCTCAGGAAGCACTCGGATCTTTACTGTCTCGCTGTCTACACTGTGCCTAAACATTTGTCCCTAGCAGCTCCTTCAGTTGTAGTACAAACTTCATGCTGGTTTTTTTGGTTCCCACAGGGGCTAAAGAGAAGCCTTCATACAGGGGGAACACTGCTGCCGTGTAAAGGCAGCCTGAAACCGATGCTGCCAACAGCCAAGCATCCCGAGGACCTGTTGTCCCTCTCATGTTACAGGCATCAAACCCCAAGGTTGTCACTGGAGGAGAACAACAGTATGTCTTTCTATTTCTAGGAAGACAGATGGGGTTTGAGAAGTAAAGACACAATAGCGTCAATACTGCAAAGAGTCGCAATTGTTTGATCCTGTAACTTGGTGTTCAGGCACTAACACTCGAACAGCAGTGAGGCTGCTGCTACACTTTGCTGAGCAAGGATGGGTGTAGGTGCTTACTTTCACATCCACTCCCTTCTCGAGCCTGCTCTCCGGTTCTGATTTCAGAAGCCAGTGACAATACGTTATCTTGCTTTCCTCCCCACCGGAGTCAGATTCTTTTGTCTTCTTCCAGTTCTTCCATCCTGACTTGGAACTCCCAGCTGGAGGTTTTGTGGACTTCTCCTCTTCCTCCTTATCTGGAGTCTCCTCCTCGGTTTTGGCAATTTTAGCATCAGGCTCCTTTTTATCTTAAAACAACAAAAACAAGACCTTTCAGGTAAAACACACTTGGCTTCCAGTAAGGACTGGTGCCAAAACATTTTCAGTCATCCAAGCTCAGCTGACATACTGGTGTTTGACTGCAGCGGGAGTTTGGTGCACCCCGCACGGTGCACCAGCGTGTCTGAGTATTTCTAGCTTGCATCTGAAATTAGGATGTATTTTTTTTGGTGTGCCCAAATGTAGTTAAGTAGTCCGTTAATCATAAAAAAAAAAAAAGCCAGGATAGACCATGTTGCTCACATGAAGTGTCACTGAGGTTTTTTTTAATTAACTGCTGAGATATCAGGCAACAAAGTTGATTTAGGTGAGTCTAATGAGTAACAGCAAAATTCAGCAGCAAAGCAAGCTATTTCAGTTACTGCAGTAGCTGGAAACCTTAGATTAAGCCCCCACCATGCTGCTGGTTCAGAGGGGGTCTCCACCCCTTTTTGTCCTCCACCCAGAGAGCAAAAAAGGGATTAAAGGGTAAGAAGGTGGTTATTTGTTGGAGATGATGAAGTGGATGAGTGGCACAGATGAGCCAACTGTATAGTTTTTTCATCTTACACCTGAAACACCACCTTCACCACTGCTTGGGCAGTGAGGCAATGGAATAGGTTGCCCAGAGAAGCTGTGATGCCCCATCCATCCCTGGAAGTGTCCGTGGCCAGGCCAGATGAGGCTTGGAGCAACCTGGTCTAGTGGAAGGTGTCCCTGCCCATGGCAGGGGGGTTGGAACTAGATAATCTTTGAGGTCCCTCCCCACCCAAACCATTCTGTGATTCTATAGTGTTGCTTCAAGTGCAAGGTTTTTGCTTTTTGATTTTTTTGCAGATGGTACCACATCAGCTTCCTGCCACTACGCTGGGGAGACTCTGACTGATGCGTAGGACCTGGAAACTTCATAAATGGTCATGAGTCAGTTTTCTTAACCACCCTTTGCTGAGAACACATCACTGTCCCTATGTCTATCTAGCAGGCTTGCCTCGGTCACACATGGATGCTCAGCCCATTTTTACAGAGGAAATGCTGTCTGTAAGACACGCGGCTTTGAAAGACGGTTAAGATGACTGTCTAGTTTCACTACAGCTCAGCACCTCAAGTGAGAGATGCTAAATTAGTTAGGATGTCAGCACTGACCTGGTACTGCTCCTTTGTCTCGCTTTCTGCTCGGCCAAGGCATCTCTGGTCTCTTCAAATTATCTTTCACGGAGAAGCACCT